AAGGAGGACGCGGCAGTAGTTTATCGGTTTAACGAGGACGCGGGTGTAGTTTGTTGTCAATGAGGATGCGGGTGTAGTTTATCGTCTTAACGAGGACGCGGCTGTAGTTTATCGTCATACAGAGGACGGTTTGATTGTTTGTAACGCGAGTTTGCGGAATTTTATTATCCGGACGTGAAATGAAGAGAAAAATTGAAATCATTCAAGCATTTATCAATTTTCCGAAGAAATTATACTAACGTTGGTTTAAAAGAGCCGAAACCTCGTGATACATGATTGAGTAATGAAAATCAAACAAGACAAAAGTGAAAAATATCAGAATATTTTTCCGCTTTTTCTCCATGTCTCAGTCAATGACAAAACTGAAACATTTTAGACTGATAAATGCTTCCTATTTGTTCTTTATCATATCATCTTGTCGGATTCTGATTCATATTTCATTTGTATTTGATCCAAACACTTAGTTGCGGTAGAAACCGCAGTAGACTCTCTGTGGCTTGAGCGGGCATCTGTAATACGTTTTATTCTAGCCAAACTGGCTGACGTTTTTGTTCGGAAACGAGTAGCCAGCCATCACACACACACATACATACAAACACAGACATATATATATATATATTATTTGTTATTTTTTTTACCTATACTCGGATGGTGGGAAAAAAAATCCCCAGATAATATATTTTGTAAATAAAAAAAAAAATATTGGACAAATTGATATCAGAAAAAAGGGGAAAAAATCAATAATAAAAAGAAAAGACTAAAAACATCCGTGCTGCTTGAAAATAATCAACCAGCACTGCAATGTCTAGCCCCGCCAAAAAAAAAAAAAAAAAAAAAAAAATAAGACAGAGTAACTTAAGTTGAAATGTAAAATTGCTCAATACACTAAGAAGAACAAAAACTAGAATACTTAGAAAGTCAGAACCAATCTAACTAGGTCCCACCTAACGGGTCATCAGGATAATTCTAAGCCAGAAAATTCTTATGATCCGTTAGGTGAAACCTAAATAGATAGGTTCTGGCTCTCTAAGTATTATATATATATATATATATATATATATATATATAACTGTATGATTACGAATTCAAGAAAACCTCAGTGATTAACGACATCTGGAAGTCTAGATTCGAATTTGACTGACTTTTTTGTTACCTTGGAACATTTTGATTAGCTCAGTTAAGATTTGCGTCTCGTGACATCTGTTGAGAACAATGAGTCCAAATAGAGGTTGAATTCATTTTTTGTGTGTTTTGCAGCAATATTCGGTAGAGAATGAAGAAATTACTACAACATTCCTTGTCTTTTCGTTTCTTCACAATCACTAGCTTTAATGTTTGTTTTAGAGTCGCTTAATGGCTAGCCATGAAAAAAAAATCGATAGTCAACCCAAAATTTCCATTGCCCTCGACAATAATTTGAAATAGAAGATACTGGTAATTACAGGCGAAAGTGAATAGTGAACGAAAATTATTTTCTTCTTCTCTTTGATTATTTTTTTTATTGTTTTAAGATACAAAGAAACTGTCTAACGGTTAACGACACGGAGAATGGTTTCGGCCGACAAAGTTCAAATTCTGGCTCGGATTTCTGTTGCATTATTTTCATGTTAATGCCTTTGGAGAAATACCCGAATCCAATTCTCCCAGCTATAGGCAAATAACAGTATAATTTGTACCCTTTATGTAGCAGCTGAGGAAGGTGTTGTGTCGGAAACCTACCACCCGTCTTGAAGATGAACTTGTCTGCGTCTGTGAACAAAGACTTTAAATAGTGGCATGTCAGTTGACATGGGGAAGATAGATAGACAGAGAAGTTCTTAGCTGAGCTAGTTATTGACTACTCAGGCAATTTCTGTACCTTTTTACCAACCTATTAAAACCCTTTTTATTATTACGTGTTATTTGGCGTTTGTCTCTACTAACCCCAAATAAACATCATAACAGAAGGTAAATACACGCATACACGCAGACACGCGTGTGTGCACACACAGAGGCATACACATGCACTGACATATGTACGCACACACACACACATATATATATATATATATATAATGTATACAGCACTCAAAAACATAATAGGTAGAAATGTTAAACCCTTTAATAATAACAATAAACAACTTAAGCTCATCATATATTATAAAAATTTAAAACATTTGAACTCCAATAACTCTACAACCACGCAACTAAATCCTCTACAACTACCCCCCCAAAAAAAAACAATGTAGTGTATCAATTTACATGCCAGTTCAGAGATTGTAACTCTGGTACTAATAATTCATACATTGGTTTTACTACAATCACGCTCTCCCGCAGACTTACTTGTCACATTTCTGAACTTAGTTCCATTAAACAACCTTTCTTACAAAAAACATGGCCATGTACATAATATTAGACAGATATTAGTTGATAACAAACAATATTCACATATACACACAGTAAAAAGAACCTTAAAATATTGGAGGCCATCTACATTAAAACAAAGCAACCCACACTCAACAAAATTATATTTCAAACTAGTCACAACATATTACATTGCATCTAAACAAATGGTTTTGTTGATAACATTTCTTTCTATCGCGTGGTCATGTATGACGTCACAGAACTGCATTACGAATTTACGACCTGCGCCCTGCTATTTCGCGACCGTTATCGTCGCATAGCAAACTTCTATGTAAACATAACAGGATGTCATCTTTGATGGTGAATATATCTGTTGTAATGTCCATATAACCACTCCTGATGATGGCTCATATGAGTCGAAAGCTTAGATCGAGGAACAGCATAATAAAAATAAATATCCAAATATTGGACAGTTTTTTTTCTTGAAACTAAAGCCACTATACGAAGCTTAGAACGGCTCATGATCAAACATAATAGACATTCGTTGTCTGTTATATTTAACAATACATGTTTGAATAATGATCTGCTGCCCCAATACACTAAATATATATATACATATGTATATGTTGAGTGTATTTCGCCGGTAATTTTTCGCGCCGTCTGACGTCTCCTTTATCTGATAATATTTCAATCAAATATCACCAAACAACACAACGGGAAAACGTAGCAAGAAATCCGAAAGAAAGCGATAACTTAACACTTTTTTTAAAATATTTGATAATGGTGAACAATGGTAGAAAATAATCAGACATTTAACAATTTATATTCATATACGTACTTGAAACCCCCAAAATTGTTTCGTCGCTAACCAAATTTCTTTATATAGATATTTTTTTAAGCATTTCATCCCAAGCAAGGCGGGAGTGCCACTAGTAGGCAAATGGCTACAGAGATTGTAAGTAAGGGAAAAATTAAAACTGGGTATGGAGAGAGGTGAAGAAAGGATAAAAAGGATTCTTTTTATCTAGCGTGATCAACAGTCTGAAGAAGGCCATCACGTTCAAACCCTCGGTCACGATGACTTGTAACTTCGTGCTAGCACAAACACCAACGGCTCCCAAGGGTTCTGTCTACCCAATTTTACATATAAGGCTTGGGCCAACCTGTGGTTTGGTTTCCATGCATTTTCCAAATGTACCGCATACTGATATCGCCCCCCTCTAGATTGATGACATCAAGAAATCACCTCCCTCTCATGGTGTGTTTCGAAAGCGAACGTTCTAATCACACGGCCACGTGCCCATATAAAGCCTGGTTCTAACCTAGTTGCCAACTAAAAAGCCCATTTTTTTACGAGTTTATCTAGAGCTGAAGAGAATGTGGATTCATGCCTTTCCCACGAAAATTAGTGCGAAAGTGAATGCAATGATTCTATTGTACGCACTGATAACCGTTACACCACCTGAACTTCATTTTCTAAAAGTTTCTTTTTTTTTTAAATCATTCCACCCATTTAAATCATTTCAAGTAAAGCGAGAATGAAACTAAGACACAGGGTGTTACAGGAAGCGACATTGAAAGAGAAGATTGAGAATAGAGAGGATTATAGAAAGAATTAAAAAAAAATGAACGGGATTCAAGAAGACAGTAGATGGCAACTGACATTGCATTTAAATTTTTGAAGATTGTTGTTATCAGGTAAGCAAAAAATCAGAAATGTGTTTTACAGGTTGAAAGTGTTAGAAAAGAAACTGTTGGAGTAGAAACGGAGGTTGCATTTAGCTATTTCAACAGCAAAAGGTGCCAATCTAGTTGTGCGCTTAAATTCATGTAATCGGGGCACCAGGGATAAAAGCTCATCAGAGCAGTTACCATGAAAATATTTATAGAAACAACAGAGGGAAGCCAGGTCAGATCAGTGAGAAAGTGACTGAAGTCGAGATGCTTGTTCAGGATCGATTGTATTCACAGATCCTTCTTTGGATTTTGTCAAGAATCTTGAGATGTACAGCAGGAGCACCAAACCAGATGTGGCAACAGTATTCAATGCACAGGCGAATGGCGGATAATGTTAACTAGCAGTATAACCCGTCTTCGCCCAGGTCTTTCATTACTGGGAATTTTTGCCGTTCAATTCGAGCAGTTTAAGTTTAAAGTCAACCCACCCGAAAATCAATATTAGTAATAACATTTGGGTGCAACTGATGTACATCGCCAAATGTGTGTGTGTGTGTGTTAACAATTTGAATGGGGGGGGGATAAAAAGGGAACTTTATAATAATTAATATTATTTTAATAATTTAAACTATTTATTTTTATTAAAGTTTTTATGAAAGATATATATCCAAGAACAGATAGTAAATAATAATAAGTTGCTGAAAGTTATAATGAACAGGAAGTAGTGGAGAGCCATGCCGCCAACAATTTGGACTCAAGAAAATTGGACGGAAGAGATATCTATGAAACAAAAAAAAATTCATCAAAATCGGATGAAAACTGTGGAAATGCATAAACAACATCCGATCGCACACACACAGACATACATACACACATGCATTTTGAAAATTCTAGATATAGATGCTAAATGAAAATAAGGCGGAAGAAGAAGAAAGAAAGAAAATCAAACGAAGGGATGAGAATTTAAGCCAGAGAAAAGGTTAGGAAAAAGAAAGAAAGAAAGAAAGAAAGAAAGAAAGAAAGAAAGAAAGAAAGACAAATATTAAAAGTGACAGTGAGATGAAAAGAAAGAAATAAAACAAAGAGATGAGAATTAAACTGGGAGAACGTATTTGAAATAAAGAAAGAAAGAAAAAAAGAAAAAATACAAAGAGATGAAAATTAAAGATAGAGAACAGATTAAAAGAAAGAAAGAAAGAAAGAAAGAAAGAAAGAAAGAAAGAAAAAAAACGAAATGCAGAGATGAAAAGAAAAAAGAGAAACAAAGAAAACAGAACCGAGATTAAATGAGGCAATGAAAGAAAAAGAAAAGGTAGGAGAGAAAACGAAACAAAGAGATGAGAATTGAAGCTAGAAAGCGTATTAAAAGAAAGAAAGAAAGAAAGAAAGAAAGAAAGAAAGAAAGAAAGAAAACATATGAAAAAAAGTTGGATGAAAAATCGACTCCAAGAAAAAAGTGAACATTAGAAGACAGTAAGAAAAAACATGCGATAACAAAAGCAGAGAAAAGATGTAATGGAATTTAATGAAGAAAAAAATGAAAGGACAAAGAGATGTAAAATGTAAGAAAAAATGGCGGTAGCAAGACAAATGATAAAACAAAAGAGGTAAAATAAAAAATAGGAATAAAAATGAAAACTAGAAAATAAAAGTAAAAGTAACAATGTCTAACTAATCGCCACTTTTTCTACTTGATAAGGTTTTTAGCGTAAAAAGCCTAAAAAAGACCTTAGGCCAAAAGTCGTCTGACTAGTTGGCCATCGATGGCGATGTGGGGCTGCAGTGTCTATTCCATCAGACCAAACTACTTATATATTTCTATTATCCACAACAAAGCCGAATTCCATCACCTCCATTTGCCTGGGTTGAGGATTAAACAATTGTACTATAAATAGAGAAGTATATCAGCCCGAAGAAAAACGACGTAGATATATAAAAAAAAAGTCAAGATAATAGATAAGTTAAAAAACCCGCGCTTTCCCTCTTTCTCTTTTCCACTCCTCTGTAAACTATATATATATATATATATATATATATATATATATATATATATATATATATATATATATATATATCGGTCGATTAAAGTACAGAAAAAACAAAAGAAATTTAGAATACCTACATAGTAAAATTAAGCGAAAAAGAAAAAAGGACAGGAATTTTGTCTTAGAATAGGCCGTTAAATAAACAAGACATTGTCTTTTTAATTTACATTGATCACCGAAGTCTGTATGATTGATTTCTATCAAAAGTGAAAATCTGCTAATGGTGTAAGGCGGCAGCATTTAACCAAAAAAGTCTTTTTTTTCTTCTCTACATTTGGTTATCAACGTCTTTAAGTTATTTTGTTATTGTTTAGTATGGAAATTAGGTATAGAGACCATCAAAATTCAATCAGGAAGTCTTCCCATCATCAATTATCTTTCACCTCTGCCTAAATCCCCGCCAAAAAAAAAAGGCGGGAATGAGGACTAGAAAAATAGAAAAGAATAAATCTAAAAAAGAAGAGCGAAAAAAATGGAAGAAGAAAAATTCAAAGAAATTACTTTTTTTGTTAGACAATTTTTTTTTGTTCGACAATTTTTTTTTGTTTTTGTTTTCTTTTTGGCTGATTGCAATTTCGTTAACTGTGTACAGATTTGAGACAATGAAGAATATAAGAGATTTGATGATTCACCAGCTTTTACACCTAGCAAGAACACAATGGAGAGATTATAAAAAGAAAGGTCAAAGCAGAAGAAGGCTCGTCAGAGTACAGAAGGGTAAAAGGGTAGTTGCGTAACTTTACTTTGTTGTTATTGATTAGTCTTAACAGAACCGAACGGATAGCAGAAATGGCATCGGTTGGGGTGGGCTGAAGAACGAAGAACGCCATAATTAGGCTGGTCAGTAGAAAAAGGATGGTTTGGGATTCTGTAGAAACGTTATCAGCCTGAACAGCATATCAAGTAAGGCAATCAAGTCGAACCTCTAGTGCAGTGGCCCCCAAACAGTGCAGTGCACCTCATGTGTGCAGCGGAAGAGGATAGCAGGTGAGTTGGAATGATTGAGGACAATCAAAGATTTAGTTTCAAAAAATTCATATGCCAAAAATAAATATTTCAAAATTTGAAACATATCTATGGATTACATATAATTGCATGCAGGAGTCCCAGTATAAATAGTTATAAATAATTACTGAACGATTTTATCATTATAATATTTTTGCACTATATCAAGTATTAAGAATATAGTAACTAGGCTCTGCAAATTGGAGGAGAGAGTTATCAATGATAATATCTTGATTTCGAATACGTGGTTACCTCCCTTTAATCCTCTCTCTCTCTCTCTATTTTTTTAAAATTTTTAAATGGACGTTTTATCACACAAAATTTGGTGAAGTCACGCTTCACCAAATTTTAATTCCGAAAATGCGGCCCAGAGAAAAAGGTTTGGGGAACACTGCTCTAGCGCATCACCGGCGGTGCTATCCCTCTCTCTCTTAGGGTGTAATCACTTGTACAATGTCGTACTTTATGAGATCAGTATAATTGTCTTTTGAACTACGGCTATTGTAATATGAAATCAAATTTAGTCAGTAAAACCCAAGAAAGAAATATACTTTGACTGACATATTTTAAGCTACCGAAATACCATTCTACTGTCTAATACCTATTTCTGACGACAATTACTATTATGTAATGTTTAAATAATATACCCTCTGTGTTGGGCACCTTGAGTCGATGTAATTGTCAGCAAGCTTGTCTCTCTAGATCAGTTACAACTGAATAGTGAGTTCGATCCTCACTGCGTGCCTCATACATTCGGCCTTGTGCCACATTTAAGCTACATTTAGAAAATCACCATTGGGTACCTCGAGACGTTGTAATGATTAGCAATCTTGTCTCGTTAGAACAATTACGACTGAGTAGTGAGTTCGATCCTCACTGGGTGCCCCATACTTTCAGCCTTGTGCCACATCTAAAATACCCTTGGAAAATCACAATGCACAATGAGTTGTATTTTTTAAAAAGATTATCACGTTTTTCTGAAACTTTCGACAGGTTCATTCTTCGCCTATTATCAAGTACCTTTTCACTTCATTTGCCACTAACCACATTCTTGATAATATATATATATATATATATATATATATATATATATATATATATATTATTTATTATTTATAATTTTAAAAACAAGGATCATAACATTCATCAGTGATTAGTGGGTTAATGCATCGAAGCGAAGGATTTCCCATTTTATATCGTTAACTTTACTAATATATATATATATATATATATATATATATATATATATATATATAATTATTTTACTAATATATATATATATATATATATATATATTACTTTACTAATATATATATATATATATATATATATATATATATATATATATATAATATAGTAAAGTTAATAAAATCCTTCGCTTCATTGATGCATTAATCCACTAATCACTGATGAATGTTATGATCCTTGTTTTTTTAAAAATTATAAACTCTATTAGGCCTTCCTTAAATATGCAAGTACTTTCGACGGTTCCTCCGGTCATCATCAGCCATGGAAATAGTTTCCATGTCCTTTTCTCTGCATATATCATATTCTAATTATCCACGAGCGATTCTCTTTCTTGCACTCACCATACCGTATTTTTTTTGTATAATGGAGATATTCTTTTTTGTGCATTTACGATATACTATTTTATCATCTAAGAGAAATTCTGTTTTTTTTGCTTATATATATGGTTTGTATGGTCGAATTGTTATTTGCATAATTCTCAATGGATAACCCTTCCTACTCATTCATACGAGTTTTGTACCCTTTCTGAATTGCCTTGTTACATTCGCTTTTAATGTAGTTGATTGGCCCATCCCTACTTTGCATGCTACGGCTAATCTATTATGAAAGTAATTAACCCTTATTATTTGAAAGAAAATAAAATATTTTTAGATTGTAAGAACTTTTTTTTAGCTTACTAATTAACCCGTAGCTGAAAAGATGCAGATTCATAACTTCCCCAAGGGTTTTTGCACGAATGGGAATATAACGAACCCAACTGGAATTGGAACTCGGCTCTCCGATTAACAATTCCGAGCCATTATCCATTACACCACCCACACATCCAAACTTACGGCGCCTGGTATTCCCAAGCGGTCATCCATCTGACCAGACTCGACGTTGCTTAACTTTCAATGATCGTACGGAAACCGGTGTTTTAATGTGATATAGCTGCACATCATTTTAATTAGTAAAACCGAAGAATGAAAAATATTTTTACTGGTATTGTTCTTTTAGTGAAATACCATTACACTTCTTTGCTAAACGTCTGCGTCTCAGCTATTTGAATTTTTATGTCGGTCGCACTATTGTTTTAGATTTTACTCAATAAAGATTTCTCTATGTAGGTTTTCCTTGTGTCACTATGTGCATATTGTCAACTTAATCAAGTGAAACCTTGTAGACAATTGAGAAATTCTTCGCACACGAGTATTTAAATAGTGATCCCAAAATGAGCACCTTAGTAGAAGTACTATAAAGAAACAAATGAAAAATGCCGGTGAAATAAAAAGAAAGAAAAAAGCCGAAAGGAAACGTGGAAAAATGTTAAACAAAATAAAAAGAATCAAAACACATTAAAAATATAAAACAATTAAGTAATAACAGAAATATTAAAAGGTCAGTCAGTTATGACCCACGCGTGATATACGCTTAGGTGATCCTCTATCTTTCGATATATAGCTGACAAATTTTTTCCCCGTAGCAGGTTGCCATCTTTTTTGTGCAGTACACCAGTTGCCATCCAAGGCTATAGAACCGGGTCTGTGCTACTTTTCACTCATAGCTTGTGGAGGGAGAAGAAGAGGATTCATACCTTCCCTTGGGGATTAACACGTACGTGAATATAATGGATGTGACTGGAATTCGAACTCAGCTCTCTGAGCAATCCGAGCCGCTTTCCATTACTCCACCGTGCCTCCGTTAAAAGATAAAGACACAATAAACGTTGTCAGCAAAAAGAACGGTGTACGAACGTCTGGACAAGAACAAAAGAACAAGAATTAAGAACAAAAAAAAAGCAAGGATACGAATAAAGAGAATGTAAAAAGAAGTCGTAAGCAGAAGGAAAAAAAATAAACGTAAAATTTCTCCTGTTCTCATTACATACAAGCAAAACAGATCGCAATACAAAATGGCGCTTGACAAAGACGCTGCCAAATGACTGACATAGAAGCAACATGAAAAAGCGTGTAAGAAATAAAGTGGTGTAAAGAAATCGAGAGAAAGAGATCAATGACATGCCTTTTCTTTAAAAGATGTCTTGTTGACAATCAGGGAACAAGAGTTGAATATTGTAGGGATTGTTTGATTGACTTATTTTTTGATTGTTTTTTTTTTTGGTCCTTTTTCTCTCTGCCATTGAATAAGAAGCATTTTAGGTTTCGCGTCTTCATTCTGCGGTTATTCGGACAAATATGTCGTCAATTTTCAGAAAAAAAATGAATCAAAAGTAGTTTATCAAATTGCTTTATTTTCCCCTCTCAGTGGAAGAGAATAAAGATGTATAACATTATCTGCGGTTTTCATATTCAAGCACATCTTCTTATCCAGGACAGGACATCAGACCAAGTGAAGAGGAAAATTTACGATATACCGGGGTGTCGTTGTTCCAGCAGAATAAAGAACTGATTGAAAAAGAAAAGCCGTAGAAATATGGAGAACATGAAAGAGAGAAATGGAAAACCGTGGAACACGAACATAGTAGAATAGCCCATAATTATTGGCGCATTTGGAACGGACCTGAAGATCCTTGCAAAGAGAGAAGAAATAGAATTCTGAGGAATAACTGAAACCTTCCAGTTAAGAGTATTACTAAAGTCACCAAGAACACTTCGACGGGGACTAAAAACATTAAAGAGACTTTATGCCACCCAAACTTCCGAGAAAGCTAACAATCAATATTGGGATTAAAACTTATTAGTAAATAATAACGATAACAAATCTCTGTTCATGAACGGAAGCATCATGGCCGCGTGTTAAGCGGGTCGTTTTTTTTGTCGTGGTGGTGGTGGTGGTGGGGGTTGAACGATGAGTTCACCAAAGAGACTTGGTGTCACATATAGATGGATCCAACCTGCAAACACGACACAGACACACACACACACACACACACACACACACACACACACACACACACACACACACACACATATATATATTGTTAAATGGTCATTCAAAGAATAAATCAATGAAGTTAATGTAATTAATGGCGGATTCACTTCACTAACAGATTAAGGAGGAGGAGTAATGGATACCGGCTCGGACTGAGGAATCGGAGAGCCGAGTTCGAATTACAGTCGAATCCATTACATTCACTTTACGTGCTAATACCCTTGGGGAAGCTATGAATCCTCTCCCCCCCCCCGCCACCACCACATATTTAATAAATAGCAGGACAGACCGGGTTTTATCGCCTTGGATAGAAACTGGTCTACCGCAGAAAGATTCGGCAAACTGCGGGAAAAAATCTGCCTCGTCAGTCATGTATCGAAAGATACATGATCGCCTAAGCGTGTATCGCGCATGACTCATAACTGAACAGATTAAGAAGACATTAACTTACTGACCACGCGCGTGTTTTTATTAATTGTACTTTCGGTGAAAACATTCACCATCTTAAGGGATAGATTTTATTTTTTTCCTCAATTATCACATTCATTTTCGTTTTGCAATTTTTACCCGAAATTAACTGGATTTGAGGAAAAATAACATCAGTAAATTAATTCCTTATTAATGTGTTAGTGAAGTGAATTCACCATTAATTACATTAATTTTATTGATTCATTCTTTGAATGACTATTTTGCAATATTAATTAAGCTACGCCATTCATTAATCTGAATATATATATATATATATATATATATATATATATATATATAGGATTAATACATATATAATTTTTCCACTTAGCTGATTGATGTTGTTTTCATCACGACTTTAGACTTTAGACGGACCCTTCAGCAATCGCTCCGTCCACTCGTCAAGCAATTGACTGTTTATTTTATAGCAGGTGGGACACATTCCAAACAACACATATATACTGCTCTGATTGTAGATAGAGAAACGCAGAATGACATGTTCATTTGCGCGCGTCAAAGTGTACAGACGTATCTGATTATAGGTGGAGGTGTCGGTCTATACGTAAATAGATTTGTTATTTTAATGGCGAATACAATACTACTACTAATAATAATAGTTGATGTTTTGGAAATTAGGCGGGTAACTCAGATCGTCTGTAGTCACTTGCTGATATTCTTCCATCAACCATTGCTTGTATTCTTTCAATTTTTCCCTTATCTCTTCAGTATTTTTCGTCTGTTCATGTTTATATATCATATATTTTTTGTCAGTACTTTTTTCTGTTATAAAGCAAACAGATATATGAAACAATAAGTGAATCTAGTCCTCTGTCCAATGACTGACATGGAGGTAAAAAGCTAAAAGACATACATTACACTAGCAGAGAGAGGTGAAGCGACATTTTGAATGTAAGTAGTAAGAGTGCACAGATACTGAACTCATCATCGGCAGAAGACACTGAAGCAACATTTTGATCCGAGGAAGATTGCATAGATACTGAACTCATCATCGGCAGAGGATCCTGAAGCAACATTTTGATCCGAGGAAGATTGCACAGATACTGAACTCATCATCGGCAAAGGATCCTGAAGCAACATTTTGATCCGAGGAAGATTGCACAGATACTGAACTCATCACCGGCAGAAGACACTGAAGCAACATTTTGATCCGAGGAAGATTGCATAGATACTGAACTCATCATCGGCAGAGGATCCTGAAGCAACATTTTGATCCGAGGAAGATTGCACAGATACTGAACTCATCACCGGCAGAAGACACTGAAGCGACATTTTGATCCGAGGAAGATTGCACAGATACTGAACTCATCACCGGCAGAAGACACTGAAGCGACATTTTGATCCGAGGAAGATTGCACAGATACTGAACTCATCACCGGCAGAAGATCCTGAAGCGACATTTTGATCCGAGGAAGATTGCAGATACTGAACTCATCACCGGCAGAAGACACTGAAGCGACATTTTGATCCGAGGAAGATTGCATAGATACTGAACTCATCATCGGCAGAGGATCCTGAAGCAACATTTTGATCCGAGGAAGATTGCACAGATACATTTTGATGAACTCATCATCGGCAGAAGACACTGAAGCAACATTTTGATCCGAGGAAGATTACACAGATACTGAACTCATCATCGACAGAGGATCCTGAAACAACATTTTGATCCGAGGAAGATTACACAGATACTGATCTCATCATCGACAGAAGAGGATCCTGAAGCAAACATTTTGACCCGAGGAAGATTGCACAGATACTGAACTCATCATCGACAGAGGATCCTGAAGCAACATTTTGATCTGAGGAAGATTGCACAGATACTGAACTCATCATCGACAGAGGATCCTGAAGCAACATTTTGATCCGAGGAAGATTACACAGATACTGATCTCATCATCGACAGAGGATCCTGAAGCAACATTTTGATCCGAGGAAGATTGCACAGATACTGAACTCATCATCGACAGAGGATCCTGAATCAACATTTTGACCCGAGGGAGATTGCACAGATACTGAACTCATCATCGGCAGAGGATCCTGAAGCAACATTTTGACCCGAGGAAGATTACACAGATACTGATCTCATCATCGACAGAGGATCCTGAAGCAACATTTTGATCCGAGGAAGATTGCATAGATACTGAACTCATCATCATCAGAGGGGCTGAAAGAACATTTTGATCCGAGGAAGAGTGCAAATTTAGTGAACCCATCATCGACAGAGCACTCTGGAAGAACATTTTGATCCTAGAATGAGGGTACAGATAATGAACACATAACCGGTAAAGCGACATCTTGATTGTATGAAGAGTGCACAGATACTGAAATCATCATCGGCAGAGGATTCTGACGCAATATTTTGGTCCGAGTAAAAGTGCAACGATAGGGACCGCATCACCATCTCAGTGACATTTTGATCCTTGAAAGAAGGCACAGATAATGAATACATTGGTAAAGGTTCCTGAAGTGACATCTTGTTCTTAGGAAGAGTGCACAGATAGTGAACTAATCACAAGTAGAGGTTCCAGAAGCGACATTTTGATCCGAGTAAAAGTGCAAAGATAGGTAACTCATCACTGACAGACCATCCTGAAGCGACATTTTGATCCGAGAAAGAGTGCAAAGATACTGAAGTCATCATCGGCAGAGGATCCTGAAGCAACATTTTGATCCGTGGAAGATTGCACAGATACTGAACTCATCAGCAGCAGAAGACTCTGACGCAATATTTTGATCCGAGGAAAAGTTCAACGATAAGAACCTCATCACCATCGCAGCGACATCTTGATCCTTGAAAGATGGCACAGATAATCAACACATGACTGGTATAGGATCCTGGAGTGACATCTTGTTCTTAGGAAGAGTGTACAGATACTAAACTCAGCACAAGCAGAGGGTCCTGAGGCGACATTTTGATCATAGGAATTCACAGATACTGAACTCATAATCAGCAGAGGACTGAAGCAATATTTTGATCCGAGTAAGAGTGCAACGATAGGAACCTCATCATCTCAGCGACATTTTAATCCTTGAAAGAGGGCACAGATAATAAGCACATCACAGGTAAAGGTCCTGAATGACATCTTGATCCTAGGAACAGTACACAGATACTGAACTCATCATCGGCAGAAGACTCTGACGCAATATTTTGATCCGAGTAAGAGTGCAAAGATAAGGAACTCATCACTGACAGACGATTCTGAAGCGAACATTTGATACTTGAAAGAGAGCACAGATAATGAATATATCACCGGTAAAGCATCCTGACGCGTCATCTTAATCCTAGGAAGAGCGCAAAGATAGGGACCTCATCACTGACAGACGATCCTGAAGCGACATTTTGATCCTGGGAAGAGTGCACAGATAATGAACTCATCATCGGCAGAGGAGTGTGTAGCAACATTTTGTTCTGTGTAAGAGTGCACAGATACTTCGCTCATCTTCGATAGAGAACCGGGAAACGACATTTTAACCCTAGAAAATGTGCACGCATAGTTCACTCACCATAGGCAGATAATAGCAACAAAGATAAGGATCGCAGTCCTCATGTAAACAATGTAAATAATGATAAATCGTCATCCCAGAAATTCAGAGAGAAAGGAAGTTTTCGAATATTGGTTTTCATGTGAGACCTCTCCATTTGATAGATTGGCTTAATACAATTTTCACAATTTTATACAATTTCATTTTCCTCCAATCAGGTTTAGTAATAATTTTCTACCAATCAGAATAGTAATATTTATTTTATGCTGCACTAAGTACAGCAGAAAGTAAATATTACTGTCCTATTCTTATTTTGCCTGTTTCGCTTCGGCCCACTCACATTTTCATTTTAACTTCAGGTCAATATTAACATTTGCATATCTATAATTTATTGCTTGTGTGTTTTATGTGTGAATATGTGTTTGTTTTTGAAAATTCTCCTTTAAAATAGAGGTAAGCTTATACACTATAGGGTTAATCGGCTGCTGAGAATTTTTATTTTTTTTACAATTTCTCAAGATAAAAAGGAAATTAAAAGAAAAAAAATGAGATTTTCAGATTCAATCAGACCAGTTAATTAGAAATGAATAAAAATGAAATAAAACAAAATATGACGATAAAAAAAGCAAGCTAGCATTTTGAAAAGATGTATTCGCCATTAAAATAATGTTAGCCATTAAAAAAGCTTCCGCCATTAATGTAGGTTGTTCCCAAAGGCGGCAATTGAATTGAAAAACGAAGTGAAAGAAAGAAAGAAAAAAGACAAGAGAAAAAGAAACGTATGAAAAAAAGAAAGAAAGAAGTAAAAAAATGACTTTAAAGGAAGCAATGAAAACAGATTAAGGAAGAAAGAAAAGAAAAAATAAAGGAAGAAGAAATGATGTAAGAAAGAAAGAAGGAAAGAAGGAAAGAAAGAAGGAAGGAAATAAATAAATAGTAACTGAATGAAAGCATACAGACAAGCGAACAAGATAGAACGAAAAAAGAAGGAAGCGAAAGGAAAAAGAAAGAACGAAATTAAATTAAGAATCAATGAAAGAAAGAAACTAACAAAGAAAGAAAGAAACAACGAAAATATAGATAAAAAAATAAATGAATGAATATGTAGGCAAGCAAAGAAAGAAATAGAAAAAGAAAGAATGAGTTAAAATTGGGTTAGACACAAAAGAATGAGTTAAGATATAATCTCACAGAAAGAATAAAAGATTATAAATTCGTATAAAGATTTTTTTCTTTTTTAAGAAAGAAAAAATGACGTTTGAAATTGAAAGAAATAAAGAAAAAAGAAAGAAACAAGGAAACACGAGAAAGAGTAGCTTTGTTAAAATAAGCAAACTCAGTTGAATACCCCAAGCAAAATCTTAGAAAAAGAATTTAAAACAGAATGAACGTTAGTTTAATGAGTTACATACAATTCCAATTAGGGAAGGATTTGAAATATTTAAGCTGTCAATTAGGTACATCGGAAAAATACACAACAAACCTGACCTTAAATTAAAGCATATGGAAATGAACATAGCCATATCCACAAAAAGTTGGAAAGAAAAATAAATTTAAAGAAGCCAGAAAGAATTAAGCCTTTCTAGTGCATTTGGATTCTACAGACATTGCTTTCATAAACCCTCAAGATATAAAATTGAAATTTTGGCATCTCGTCTATCAATATATTTCGTCCATCACATTGAATCAGATCAGGAAGAGTTAAGCTCATTAAGCCCCGTGGGCAGCTGGAACAGCTATCAGGGGTGCTTGTTTCACCGTTAAGAAAAAGGAAAACCTTTCAGATATTGCTCCTTACAGGATAGAAACCATTATCAGAATTCTTGAAAAATAAACCACTTCTCGATATTAATTTTCTGACTTACTTCTTGTATATGTCAGTTTTTCTGTCTTTCTTTAATCTTTCGTCCTGTGTCTTTTTCGATTGTTTTTTTTTTATTTTATTCTTAATTTTGAAGCGTTTAAATATGTTTAATTTCAAATCATAAAAAAAGAGCGGATATAAAAGACAAAGCAAGAGAAACGAGGAAAGAACATAGAAAATCAATTAAAGAAAAGACCAGATAGATAGATAATGAAAAGACTAAGATAGATAGATAGATAGATAGATAGATAGATAATGAAAAGACTAGGATAGATAGATAGATAGATAGATAGATAGATAGATAATGAAAAGACTAGGATAGATAGATAGATAGATAGATAGATAGATAGATAATGAAAAGACTAAGATAGATAGATAGATAGATAGATAGATAGATAGATAATGAAAAGAATAGGATAGATAGATAGATAGATATAGATAGATAATGAAAAGAATAGGAAGATAGATAGAAGATAGATAATGAAAAGACTAAGATAGATAGATAAATAGATAGATAAGATAGATAGATAGATAGATAGATAGATAGATAATGAAAAGACTAGTATAGATAAACAGATAGATAATGAAAAGACTAGGATAGATAGATATGAAAAGATTGAGATAGATAGATAATGAAAAGACTAAGATAGATAGATAGATAGATAGATAGATAGATAGATAGATAGATAGATAATGAAAAGACTGAGATAGATAGATAGATAGATAGATAGATAGATAGATAGATAGATAATGAAAAGGCTAGGATAGATAGATATCAAAAGATTGAGATAGATAGATAGATAAATAGATAGACAGATAATGAAAAGACTGAGATAGATAGATAGATAGATAGATAGATAGATAATGAAAAGACGGCGATAGATACGAAAAGATTGAGATAGATAGATAGATAGATAGATAGAGAGATAATGAAAGATAGCGATAGATAGATAGATAGATAGATAGATAGATAGATATAAACAGACTGAGATAGATAGATAGATAGATAGATAATGAAAAGGCTAGGATAGATAGATATCAAAAGATTGAGATAGATAGATAATGAAAAACATAGAAAGATAATGAAAAAAGATAGACAGACAGACAGATATATAGATAGATAGTAATCTTAGCTTAGTCTAGCACAGGTTCACAAGTACAAATTACCCCATGAGAATCAAACTCAGAACACTAATGGTCAGAAATTTCAATTCATCGACGTAAAGCCACACATACACGCGCGCACACGCACCACCCATATATATATATATATATATATATATATATATATATATATGAATACATTGAACACCCAGCGGTGACAGATTTTTCATGCTTAAACGCAATTGTCTTGTCATGTGCTTTGTGTTTTGGCGCGTACAGGAAAAAATCACCGTAAAATCAACCGATGACGAAGAAAAAATATACATAGAATAACTGAATGACACTGAAACAAAGAAACTACGTACACCAAACGTCGTTTACAAATAGTAAATACGCGAACGGTACAATGTTTTCTAAACGTATCAGGGACATTAAAAACAAATAACACCAAAAGTATCATAGAAAATAAAGAAAGCTGCACCAGCTTATAACAGTAAACCACCAAATTTAAACCTTGTCTCGGGGAGAAAATATCTATAATTACCTTCCCAGATCAAAACAAACTACTAAATAAACAATCAGAACTCATCTCAAAATGCAGACAAGCAACAGATTTTTTCTCCGTTACTTAAAAATCGAAAACTCAAAACGAAAAAAAAAAAAAAAATCAAGTAAAATAAATTAAGAAAATATTAAACAAATTAAAAACTATGAACGCACACATAAATGTAATAATTTATGAGTTAAAGTGCTCAGTATCAGGATAAAGTGTATGTAAATATAAAAGTAGACAGTTTTGTCAACACCCAATGGGAACAGTCTATTTCGTGCTTAAACGCAATCGTCAGGGCACGTACGTTGTGTTATATATATACATACATATATATATATATATATATATATATATATATATATATATATATGGTGTAACAGCAAAATTGTTCAAAATATCCAAGCAAAAACTATCCAATTACTAGATTAAGCTTTGAACCATTGCATCTTAGAAATGATTAAAGATATCTTACTGGAATTCGCTGAGGTTTTTATAACACTATTGAACTCTACTTTGAACAATGATAATGTATTTAGCTCTAAGTTGCAATGATGATCTCTCTTCCTGTTTTGACCTCCCGATCCAGTTTTCTCTCTCTTTTTTTAAACTTATTCACTGTTCTCTTGATCGTTCTTGGATGGAAGATATAGTGGTGCTGACACAAAAGGATTTTAATCTCTTCTCTTTTAGTTAAATAACTTATAGTGTTTTTCAGTGATTCTTACGACAAATGGTATCAAGATGGTCAAACATCTTATCAGAAAACATGGGAAAAAGAAATTTAGTTAGTTTAGTGTTTTTTTTAGATATTAAACATTTCGTGGGATGTAAAATTATCCCATGCTGTTACACGATGTTGACAATTTTACTGTTACACCCGATATATATATATATATATATATATAACACAACGTACGTGCCCTGACGACTGCGTTTAAGCACGAAATATTAGTGTTTAAGCCTTTTTATTATATCCTTACTCTGTCCTAGACATTGAGTTCTACCTGGATCCTTCCTCTTGAAATTTTTTTCTGAAAATATACATGTATGGGAATTTTTAGATATATTTTTCATATGTATGTATATTTTCCACTAATATTATCTATATATATATATATATATATATATATATATATATATATATATATATGAAATGGACAAAGTCCGACAATTATTTTAAGACATTTTATGTTTGTACATTCTTTTTATAGATACAAATATTTAAGTAAATGCTCTGTTTATAATAAACAGTATTAAACAACATTTACCGGCCTGAATGTCCGAGCATTTTTCATAGAAAATTTTCGTCTTTCGACAGGAAACGAGCCTATATCCAATACGGAACCGTATATATATAAACTTATATATATATATATATATATATATATATATATATATATATATATTAATTAATCCAAATTTAAAATTTAATCTAAATTAATCCAAGTAAATAAATAAATAAACAAACTAACAAACCGATCTCGATAAATTAATCGTTAGAAAAAACAAGTAAAGATAATCGATCCAAATAAATAAATGAAGTAATAAACAAATTAAAAACTGCTACCACCAAAATAATAGTTAGAATAAACTACAGCAATCAACCCCAAAATTGAATAAATAGCTTTAATTATCTTCCCAAACCTAAACAAAACTATTAAATAAGCAATACAAATTTTTACAACGTTAATAAAACACCGATTAAAATAAAAATAAATAAATAAATAAATAAACGACTTCGGGCAAAATAACCGCCAAAACAGACTACCCACAATACACCACTGACCCGTATATATAAATAGCCGAGAAACAAAAACTGTACTCGTGGCCTGACGATTGCGTCTAACATGAAACAGCCTGTCGCCTCTAAGTGTTGACTTCAATGTTCTTTTATATATATACTTATATATATATATATATATATATATATATATATATATATAGCCGGTTAATCGTTTTCTGAGAGCATCAGTCTGCTAGATCAGTTAGTTAATCTCTGTTGCAGGCGTCTTCTTACACATATTTGCGTTCGTTCAAAGCCAACTGGACCTACTTGTGGTTTTACACAGTAACTATGCCGAGCGAATCGTCGTTAGAGTTTCTGAAAGCGGGCACATAATCTGGCAGAATTAGCAGTTTGAAACTCTCTGTTACAATGACTTGTGATTTAGTACTAACGCAACCATCAACAACCTCCGAACATTTCCTTCTACACAATTTTACTCACAAGATTTGGGCCAATTTCTGGGACTTTCCAAATGTGCAGCACCCTGGGATCGGCTTTCTAGATCAATAACATTAAAAAGTCACCTTCCTGAGAAATTGACCATTGTGAGATTCGAACTCGAGTCTCATGTTGAGTCACTAACACACAAAAAAGATAATGTCTCACACCGAGAATATTTAACATCGAAAAACATAAGAAAAAAAAATTTTTAATAATATGTGGAAATCTCTACGCTTTGCCTGATGAAGGTCGCGAGACCGAAAACATGTGTAGCAAAATTATGGAAAATAAAGCATAATATATTTAAAAAAAAAAACCCACATTACAACCAAAAACGTTTTCGATTTCTCTCTTCTTTTTTATATATATATATATATATATATATATATATATATATATATATATATTATAAACATAATTGAATTGCTAATAGCCTTGGAAAATTTATGAATTTAACTCTTTCCCCCCTTACTATGGGTAAATATTTGGACAGTCTGGGTTCTATAGCCTTGGGTAGCAACCAGTCTAGGAGAAGGAAAACTCTGAATTCAAAACTTATGTAGTCCTGGCGATGCACATACTATACAGCTAAGGAAAGGATCGATCGCATTGACTCGATGATCCCGACTTCGGTCGTCTCTTTTTTTTTTATAATGGATAGTCGTATTTGAAATAGACGCCCCATTTTTATTTTTACTTTAAACAGAGTATATTAAGTCTATCGGCCTGTGTATTCCAGAAATCTTAATGAACAAAATGTGAGAAACCATTGCCAAAATGAGAAGCGTGTTCAATCCCTGCTGTGGAACGCATTTTTTAAAGATTTCTCGAATGCGCAAAGCGATAGATGTAATACACACTGTTTAAAATACAAATAAAAATAGTCTGTCTATTTCAGTCCGCTATAATAATGTTTGAAGTAATAAAAATGCCGGATTAAATGTAAATACATTAGTTCTTTAGAAATTCCTATATATATGTGCCTGCGTGTGTTGTAAATTTTCGACATTTTATCTTTTTAATTTCGCGCATGCGTGTTTGCTTTTGATTTTGCCAACTGCATAGTAGGGCCGTTTGAGCACTGCCGGCGAGAAAAAGAGCACAATGACGCAATTCGCTCCGCCAGAAATTTGGGAACGACATGCTGCACTGCTTGGTGTTCGCACCGGAAGCTCCAATACGAACATTTCAGAGTGTTTTGGCGTCAATCTGAGAACAGTGCAGAGGATACGGAAAGAGTTGGATGAGTATAACGGTGATTACGAAGGCACATCACTCTGATCGTGATAAGAAAACAACTCCCGAATTTGTTGGTGAGGATCTATGATTTGACACGGAGGCCAACATCAATTCAAGTGGGTGGCTGCTGGACGACCCTATGTCTGGCAATAGGACTCTGCATCATGCCACTTAAGCAGAAGAACCGAGTCATGGTTGTCAGACAATTTCTGCGACTACATCACCCCTTACATCTGGCCATAACCTAAATACCCAGACTGCAAACCCTTGATTATCATGTATGGGGCGCCGTTGAGCGAGAGACCAAAAAAAAAAAAAAGAGAGAAAAAAAAAAACTCCTTGTAACACCAAAGTTGAACTGAAAGCAAGGATTACGGCAGCATTTTACCAACTTAAACAAGGAGACCGGCGATTTTACTGAATAGTTTAGTCTTTAGGATTTCAAATTTTTTTTTGTGTAATTTTGGTAAATATATCTGTGAGTGTGCGTGTACGCGTTTGTGTGTTTATGTGAGTGTGGTATATTAAATATTTTATTCTGAATTTTAGATAAAATAATAGAAAAATAAAATAGAAACGTCTAAATATGGAATAGGCATAAAAAACTATGCTTTTATTAAAAAAAATAGCTTGTGTTTTTCTTTGTTCTGCATGTTTGTTTTATTTTTAAGTTAATCGTTATTTCATTTTATTTTTTTTCGGATCAGTTCAATGGTAAAAAGACTAATAAAACTTTATAAATTTTTTTTTTAAGATTAAAATTTCTTCGAGCAACTAATCCCCTACACCCATGCAGGAAACAAATCCGAAATGGTCTTGGAATTGGAGAAGGCGGGACCAGTAGGGGAAAAATAGAAGCTAATATTTATTTGGTCGCGGCTTTACGTTCAGAAGCACCC